AGAGAGAGAGAGTATGTGTGTGTGAGAGAGAGAGAGAGAGACAGGCACAGAGGAGAGGGAAAGATGGGGGAGGGAGAGAAAGAGAGAGAGAAGCAAAGAGAGGCGAGGCAGAGCGAACGAGAGAAAGAGACAGAAAACGAAAGAGAGAAAGAGATAGGTGAGAGAAAGAAAGAGAGAAAGAGAGAACAAAAACGAGAGAAGAGAGGTGGGAGAGAGAGAGAGCGCGCGCGTCCGTGACGTCACTGCGTAATTATGACGCCATAATTACCATCGATAAATACAAATTGATTACTTCAACGCTGATTTAATTATTGGTATTGATTGCGAATAATAAATAGAATAAAAAAAATTAAAATTAATATGATTATAAAAAGGAGGAAAGTAGGAATGAATGTAGTTGTTGTAAGAATTAAATAAGAAACTAATTAATAAATTAAAATAAATGAGATAATAATTAATACAGTAATCGTGCACTAAGCACGAAAACTAGAAAGATCGGCGTGAAAGCGTCTTGGAGACGGTCAAAGCAAAAAACCCTCCGATGACGTCACGTCGTGAACGATCGCTGCGCCGTCTTGCGTGCAGAAGTTCTCCTGTTAAACTGCAACGTCTGGCCCGACGCGGAAAATTTTAATAATTTTAGTTTAAATTCAATTATAATTTGTTGGCTGGATTTGAATAAATAATTAGATATTTAATGCAAGAGTTTATCTGCGTTTACCGGCTGAGCGAGGAACGGTGGCTGCGTGTGCGCAAATAATGCGCTCGAATGGCATTATAACAAAATTAGGCAAAATATAATTATTCTGTAGAACGTACGATGCATGAGAGGGAGAAGTAAAGGGGAGGACAGAAGGGCGGGAGGGGAGGCGGAGAAAGGGGAGGGCGAGGCGGGAGGCGAAAAAACTGAATTCTCAGGGGCCGAGGAAAAGGAAGGAAAGGGGAAGGATAAAAGAGAGCGGCGCGAGGGAGAGGGTCGGGGACGGAGGAGGAGAATGAGCTTAGAAAATACTTAGAGGGAGAAGGGGAAAGAGATGGGGAGGGTGGAAGAGAGATAGGCGGGGAGGAGGAGGAGGGGGAGGGGGGAAGGTAAGGATGCATGAGGAATGCGTCATATATCATATATTAACATTTAATCTTCGCTCGCACATGTGTGCACACGAACAAACGTCTGCTAGCGAAATCAGCTCAAGCCACGAGAGCTTATATAGCAGTAAGTTGTTTACTCTGTTACACACACACGCACACACACACACGCACACACACACACGCACACGCGCACGCACGCACGCACGCACGCACGCACGCACGCACGCACACACACACGCACGCACGCACGCACGCACGCACGCACACACACACACACACGTACGCATTTTAACATATTAGCTTCATCATTATAGGACAGCGGTAATCGATAAAACGCTAACCCAGCCGCCGCCGCCGCCGCCGCCACAGTTCGATAATAATCAGTCGTCTGTTTTGCCGTCCGTGGCGGCAGACGTGCAGACGAAGCTAAATATCTTCCGTCATTCCGCTTTTTATGGTTATTTTTACTCATTTCGCAATCGATCGGTGAGTGACGCCTGGTGTGAGCCAACGTCGTTCGGATAGGTATTATTATTTATAAAAATATATTTACTATTTATATATATTATATACATATATATATATATTATGTTATACTAATATATATAATATATATATATAGAGAAAGAGAGTAGAGAGAGAGAGAGATGAGGAGTACGAGAGAGATGAGAAGTTAAGAGCCGCGATAGAGAGTAGAGACGGAGAGACTTCGAGTAGATATAGAGTAGATGAGCGAGAAGAGAGTCAGAGGAGGGAGAGAGGAGAGGAGACATTGGAGAGGAGAGGAGTAAGAATAGAGCAGAGAGAAGAGAAGAGAGTAGAGATAAGTGAGAGAGAGGAGCGCAGAGAGAGAGAGAGAAGAGAGAAGAGAGAGAGAGAAAGTAGAGTCGAAGAGGGAGAGGTGTAGAGAGAGAGAGAAGAGAGAGAGAGAGACGAGAGAGAGAGAGAGAGACGGGAGAGAGAGAGAGAGGGGAGATGGGAGAGAGAGGAGAGAGGGGGGGGAGAGAGAGGAGAGAGAGAGAGATGAGAGAGAGAGAGAGAGAGAGAAGCTGGGAAGAGCAGCAGGGCATGAGCGAGAGAGAGAGAGAGAGAGAGAGAGTAGAGGGAGATGAGTAGGGAGAGATGCAGAGAGAGAGAGAGACGAGAGCAGAGGGAGAGAGAGAGAAGAGAGAGGAAGAGAGAGAGAGAGACGAGAAAGAGAGAGAGAGATGAAAGAGATGAGAGAAAGAGAGAGAGAGAAGAGAGAGAGGAAGAAGAGTAGAGACAGGCTCAGATGAGAGAGAGAGAGAGAGAGAGAGAGAGTAGATGAGAGAAGAGAATAAGAAGAGAGGAGAAGAAAGAGTATGAGCGAGAGAGACCAGAGACAGAGAGAAGAGAAGACGAGAAGAAGAGAGAGGAGAGAGAGAGAAAGAGAGATGAGAGAGAGACAGAGAGAGAGAGAGCAGAGAGAGAGAGAAGAAGAAGAGAGAGAGAGAGAGAGAGAGAAAGAGAGAGAGAAAGAAAGAGAGAGAAGGGGGAGGAGTGGGAAGACAGATGTGCCGCGCGCGCGTGTGTGTGTATGTATGTATATAGCTTTCGTTCAATCAGTGTTTTTTTCTTAAAGTACAGCACGGGGTCAAATCGAATCAAACCAATGCGGGAATGAATCGAGATCCGGTTAATTTGATTAAGAGGCACGACGCGACAACGATGAGAAGGGGGAGAATGCGGAGGAGGGAGAGGAGAAGGACGAGTAGGAAGAGGAGGAAGAGGAAGAGAATGAGGGGCAGTAGGAGGAGTGAAAGGAGGAGAAGGACGAGAAGGAGAAGAGGAGGAGGAGGGCAGTAGGAGGAGGAGAAGGAGGAGGGGNAGAGAGGAAGAGCAGGAGATGCGGGGGGGGGGGTTGTTGATTGATCTCCTAGGGGGAATACAAAAGAAGGAGGGGGAGGGAGAATGATTGGTCACGTGTAATTAGTCGTGGTTCATTATGAGCCAAATATGCAGAATATGCAGAATATGCATCTCTTTATGTGCCTGGCCGTGCACCGTCGTGGGTGACGTAATGTGACAATGGCGTCATTGGTTTTGTCTCTCTCTCTCTCTCTCTCATAATTATATGGAGAGCGAGAGCAAGGTAGNGAGAGAGAGAGAGAGAGAGAGAGAGAGAAAGAGAGAGAAAGAGAGATAGAACGAGAGAGAGAGCGAGAGACATAAAAGCGATGAGAGACAATCTCCTTATTTGTGTACAGTCCTATATAATTGTATCCCATTTCATCCGCGCAGCGCAAATGACGAAAGGAAATGCGACGAAAACCAACGATAGCGTTTGGAAATAAATTCTAATATCGAGCAATCAGCAACAAATTATTGCACATTTCAGAAATTTCAGAAAAATGTTAGAAAGCCGAGGTCCCGCGGACAGGGCAACAAACGAGCCGGCATACAGATTTAGCTAATTTTTTACAAGCGATTACATATTTCCGCTATAATTGCTGTTACTGTTGCTGCTGCTGTTGTTGTTGTTGCTGCTGGTGCTGTTGCTGCTGCTGTTGTTGTTGTTGTTGTTGTTGCTGCTACCTATGCTGCTGCTGCTGCTGCTGCTGCTGCTGCTGCTGCTGGTGGCGGTGGTGGTGGTGGTGGTGGTGGTGGTGGTGGTGGTGCTGCTCTCTCTCTCTCTC